CTGCCCCACTGGGGTTCTCTTTGTCCTGCAGGAACAAGGATTGTGTATATTTGGGATAGATTCAGGAGTAGTCGGCATCCTTATAGGTGTGGTCGATGGAATAGCAAAAGATAAAGTATTCTGGCAGAGGTTGTAAAATAGCTTTGCCAAAAAACACCCCCCAAAATCCAAACATCTCCATATCAGCACAAGGCTGATGGGATGGATTATTACTTTATTTGCCCAAAACGAAGCGTGTCACAAAGCGTTTTGTAGTATACCTTAAACCAGGATCCTCTTACTGTGAACGGAGTGGGGTAAATCTGAGTCCCCAGCTAACACCACTTGCCGCTTACGCAGCTCTTCTACCCCCCAAAATCCGCATGGAAGCACTATGATAAGGAGAAAGCATGCCCTGCAGCCAGGGACCAGAGGGAGTCCTTGGAAATCTTTGCCTAATTGTTTTGTTTATGGAACTTCGTAGAGGATTTCCAGTGGGTTTCCTAATGAACTGGTTTGTTGTTGACACTTAGGGCAATGCTGGTAATTACACTAGAAACAGGGGGTCAAGACTCATCTCCTTTCCCACAAGCTTTCAACTACCAACCATTAAACACACAGACTACGCAATTTAGGTTTTTCTCCTTCTTCTCAAAGTTTAACTCCTCGTTTACTTGCAGGATTCCTGCCACTCATCTTCCAGGCACGTACTTGCAATTTATGTGCCTTTTTCACTTTTGAAACCGTGGCCATGTGCGAGAGCATCGCTGTGCAGGCTCTGAGTGGAAATGTAGCTTTGGGCTGAGTGGAAAGAAAATTAAACTGGAGCCCAAAGTAGTTTATTCTGTCCTTTTGGAGGAGTATTAACTAGATCTGAAGTAACACGTCTGTAATACAATAACAAATTGGATAGCTGTTTAGGAGTATTGTACTGGGAGAACTTTGTGTTTCTCTGAAGGGCTGAAACTCTATACCTTGTCCTGGAAATTTATGGAGAGAAGCTGAGGAGCGTTGCCTGCGTTAGCAATACGTGTTCCTGTAATACACAGCAAGAATTCCTTAGCTGCCTTTTGGATGTAACCATCTTTCTTTCCCAGTAACTTGCTTGTAGGCTTCATTGTTATGAAAAAGTGGATACACAACCGTTAGGTAAAGGTTTTGGTCCGGCATTTAATAGTGGTTTAACAGTGGAAAGAACTTCCAGTGTGTTGGGTTTTCTTATATTCAAGGCAGAGTGGGAGGCTAGCTGAGCCTTAAACTGTGGAGCAGGCCCCGATTTCACCTAAATCTGGGGGGGTTCTCCATGAGAATCAGGTATGCCAGTTTAAATATATCATTTTGGTGACTGTTTCTGCATAAGGAGAAGGGTTATTTTACATTCACTTCTTACATGCTGTGAAACAGAGGGGGTTCAGTGTAGAGTTAATAGCTGGGAAGTGAGGGAAGCATCCTTACAAAAATGATGCTGAGGGTTGAGGTTGAACGAGGCTGCATTTTTCCATATATCATTTGATTTTATTGCTTCAAGGAGACAGTCTGTTTATTTGACTGTTATTTTATATAGACTTATCAGTGCTTTTATTTTTAAAAAATACTGCAAATAAGGTAATGGTTACACATTCAGTAGCCACAAATTTCCCGCTCTCGGTGAAGAGTTTTAATTGATGCGACAGGGTTCCTGGTGTGGTCAGATATTTTACCACAGTCTCCAACTTTGAATGGCAGGGAATAAAATAATAACTAGAGGGAAGAGCTTCGGTTTGCGAAGTATTCACTGTGCATTTCCTTACAGTATTTTTGCATGTGCTGAGATTGCAGGTTGCCTTTGTGTGTTCTTACCCTGTATGGTTAACAAAGTCATTAGTATGAAAAAGGAGAGATGGGGCTAGGAAAGGTCTTTGGGAAGGGGACAAGTTAAGTTCCTGCAGACTTGGTGACTATGGAAGCTCCTCTTGGCTTGTTGCTGGCTTGGGTCTTGGATCCTCTGTAACCAAAGGCAAGAGGTAACCCTGAAACTGGTTTGATTTTTGTTTTGGTTTTTTCCCCGCCCCCTTTTTCAGGACTTGCAGTCAGTCCTTGGAGATCCTGGTTAGGAACATTCTGATGTTTGATCTGTCATCTGGCAGCCTTGCTGCTCCCCAGCAGTTTGGTGTGGTTGTCGGGGAACGACAGAGGGGAGACAGGAAGATATTTGATTAGATCTCAGAGTTCCTTACATTTCTCACCTGTCATTTGGACATGACAGGCCTATCCTTCATGTTGCCGTTTAGTCTGTGCTTTGGGTGGTCATATTGCCCTTGAATCTTTCACAGGCCTGCTGGTGTGTGGGAGTTCTGTCAATGCCTGACTCGGGGCTTTGTGGTTCAGCTTTGGCTCACATAAAGGATTAGAGGTTCCCATCTCTCCTCAGTGGTGGTGTTTAAGTGAAGTTTAGTAATGCTGGAATATGAAAGTGTTAGAATTTGAGGGGGGGAGATGGAGTATGGAAGGTTATGTTCTGCAGGAATTGGGGTAGGGAGAGATGGAGGTGGGCAGTGTAACCATGCTATCTCTTAGGAAATACATGTGTTTATGACCACAGTTAAATACTTTGAAATAAATACAACTCTGTGTGTGGAAGGGGAGGCCGTGCATGGAAATGCGTATCACTGACAGGGAAACACAAACTTGCCATTTGTGTCCTGCTCCAATGGAATAGAGCCGTGATTCTTTGGAAAGGAAATTTCTTGTCCTTCTCTACCCACAGTCTCCTCCTCTGACCTCTCCTGTTCTCCCTCTCCCACCCCTCACACACACATGCCCCTTCCCTTTTGCACTTGTATTGGAAGCATCTGCTGCATTAAGCAGGATCTCGCTGCTAGGTCTGAGGGAAGGGTATGGAAAAATACCCTGGGCTGTTCTGGGAACGTGAATGTGCCACAACTGCAGCAGCTGAGGAAATATAGCTGTATGGTCCGGAAGAAGCCCCACAGGAAAGAGGCTTTGTAAATTATTCATGCTTACTAGTGTGAAAGCAATAAAATTAAATTAAAATTGAAATATAAACATACATCATGTTAGGTTTGTGTAAAGAAAGGAACTTGGCTACTGCGAGCTCCCGGCGTTGTGGTACGCTGGAGACTGCAGCCCCCGGTGTCGTTTCTCTGAGTAGTATCCAGATAGCTCAGTATGTGGTTTCTCAATAATGTTCATGTTTTTTTGAGACTCTTAAGCTGGTGGTGGCTGAAGACTCTACTGGAAACCTTCAGACCCCTCTGACTCGGGATTTGCTCCACATGATTTGAAGGAATTGACATATGTGTGCTGCAGTACGTTGGCTCCGGGTTAGAACGGGGACTGTTCCCCTTTGAAGCCGTTTTTCGTGCTCTGTGAAGGCGGAGGAGGTCAATCTCCGTAGCGCTGACGGTGTGTGCTGTGAGGTGCTCGGCTGCGTTCTTCTTTGTAGCAGTGCTCCGGTGCTTTTAACATTTCTTAAGGAAAAGGGATGGAAAATCTGCTCACCACCAATCCCGTAGGCAGTACTGGGGGAGGTGCTGGTAAGCAGCTCCTGCCTGGCCAGGAATTTGGAGCGCACCTGCTGGTCTTCGCCCAAATTGCATTTCCAGCCTTTCTGTCCCACACTATTCTTCATTAAATGAATTGACTTTTCCTGAGTGTGCCTGTCCGTAAATACTCCCTCCCACTCAGCACACTCGGTTGTTACCGCGCTCCCAGTCGGAGCAGCAGAAGACAGCCGGCGGTCCTTGCAAAGGAAAAACAGGAGTTGGGAGAGAAGCGGGATAGCTGAGGGCGGTACAGGAAGACTCTCTTCTTTCTCTCAGCGGCTTCTTAACTATGGCCATAAATCTTTTAATAATGCTACTGAAAAATGAAAGAGTAAGGGGAGAAGCAAGTTTAATTTTCTGCTAAGAGAGAGAATATTTTTGCGAAGGTGTGGAGGAAGGGTGGAGGGGGAAAAAAGGGTCCTGCAAAGTGGCTGTAATTATCTTTTCCTCAGCTTGAAGCTGAAGCAGTTCAGCGCAGGGGCATCCCAAGGAAAGCTTTGCACCTTAGAGCAGAACTAAAAGGCGGGGGCTCAACTTTCCACAGGCAACAGCAAAGCTGTAGTCGCAGCCCCCATGGGGCAGGCAGGTATCGGAGTTTTGCTGTGGTCTTTTCAATCCCCCACCTTCTTTTGGGTTCAAAGTTCATGAAGACCAGATGCTTGTCCAGGCGGGTGTCTTTGTCCTGGGTGAGAGTCCCCTGTGCTTTATCAGAACAAATGTATCCAGGGGAAAACGCCTGGAAGTAGGCTTTGTGTCAGCACGTGCAATGCAGGGGTGTAATTCCAGAGGTTAATTTTGAGGAGCATATGCTGGTTGAAATGAATACTCCATATTTTCTTTCACTTAGGCATATGTGGTTTAGATGCAGAATGAAGTTACTGTTGTAGCCTTTTTTATACCTCTACAGTCTTGGGAACAGTTTATGTGCAACATCATGATGTATAATTATGAAGTTTAACTGCCGTGCTCACTAGGTCAGTCTTTTGTTCCTTTAAGGCTTTTTTTCCAGTTACAAGTGATATTAATAATCTCTTTTTCAGCCTGAGAAACGCCACAAGAGAGTGCTCATGGGGAGAACGTAGGTTTGAGATCAGACTCTGACCGGTCCACGTTGGCCAAAGTTATTGGTGTCTAATGACTAAGACAGTGGATGAGTGGTATACTGGGTGTCAGACACTGGTTGGTGGGCTTAGAGGGAGAAGATTCTTGGGAACAGAGTCTTCAACTACCCTCAGAGCGTGGCAGCTCGTGCTGTCTCTGGGTCTGCCAAGGGCAGGTAGCGTCAACGCTCTCCGTTAAGGTGATGTACCCACATTGGTGCGATCCCTAGCGTGACACACCCCAGTAACCCACCGAGGGCCTTGGAGACAGTCGGTGGAGTGTTAGTTTGCTTCTGGAGAAAGGCAGACTCAGCTGACGGCAAAAGCAAATGCTCCTCTGACCTAACGTGGTGGTGTTGTCTGTTATGTCTTGCAGTGTACTTGCCGCAAAGACATGGTGAAGATTTCCATGGATGTCTTTGTGAGGATTCTGCAACCGGAGCGTTATGATTTATGGAAACAAGGAAAAGACATTACTGTACTGGACCATATGAAACCCACAGCACTGACTAGCCCAGAACTGGATGCCTGGAATAAGACAAAGGTGGAGTTGAAGACTAAATTGCTTCGCAGGTAAAGAGAAAACAACGAAACGAAGTTGTGTCTGAGCACTGTGTTTGACTTTAATTGCTAATTTTAAGTGTTGTAATTCTTAGTTCAGGATAGTTGAAACTCTTCCTCTCCCTTGTAATTTTTCTTTGGTAATGTGCTCCCTCATTGTTCTGTTTCCTTTAAATGTTCTAGAAGCACGTGTCTTCTGAAAGTAGGATGCTGTGTGCCCCCTCACATCTCATCTCTTACTCTGGAACACAAAAAAAATCTGTAGTTAACCTTTACAGCTTTACTCATCAGAAAGCAGGAGGGAAAAATGCCCCATCAATTGCAAGAGGGATTTCATGCATGCCTTTCTGTGCTTCCTTTGATCTCTGTATTCATTTTCTACAAGTTTGTGGGGTTTGTGTTACAGCATGCTTGAACTGAAAATTTGGCATGCTAACCTTTTTACTGTTGGAATCTTGCCTTATAGGATAGGAGATGAGGAAGAGGACAACAAACACCGGTATGTGACTTCCCTCATCAGCTTAAATGGCTTCATTCTTTCTCCTGTCAAGTTTCTTAAAAAAAACTTGAAAGTGGTTTGCTTTTCTTCTTTTTTTTTTTTTTTTTTGTTCTTCATGTCTGCTTTCTTGAAAGGGCACAGAAAATCTTTGGGCATCGAGGTTTCTCAGGCTTCATCTCCATTTCGTGTAGTTTTCCAGGTTCTCCTCTTGCATCATTAGAGAAGCATTGAATCACTGAATTATCATGGGGCTTTAATGTGCTGGGGTGTAAAGTGTGTCTCCTTCCGTTTGCTCCCTTACCCTTTTTTACATCATTCTCAGTCCTGCTCTGCCTGCTACCCAAAGTGCTTGCACTGTAGCATGCAAAGCCTACTTCTTTCTGCTCTCATCTAGTATTTGTTGCATTTCTGGTGTGAGCGTCGGCACTCTCTGGAAGTTGTAACATCTGTACATCTGTATGGAGTACATCTGTACATCTGTATGGAGTACATCTGTACTCCATCCAGATGTAACATTCTGCCTGTAACCTCAGTTCCAATATCGCTTCTTTGAAATCCAGGAAAAAAAGCTTTAAATAGGCTTGGGTTTCTGGGGCCATCTTTGACAGGGACTTTGAGTAACAGTTTAAAAATTATTGACCTAATCATGTGATGGTGGCTGGTTTAGGTAGGCATTCCATCAAAGTAAAAGATAACTTACTAGTAAGAGTGAATCTCTTTCTCTAGCACTGGTCTTTCTTCTCTTCCAGTTTCCAGTCAGCTGGTGTTGCTTTGGACTGGCAGTGCTGCATCTTGCTTTTTCAATGTCAAATGATGTGTCCGTTATTTTACAAATGCTGAGATGGGATAGTGTGATCCCCGCTAAATCCATGCTCCAAAAGACATAAAATACAGGGCACTTTGGCAGATAACTGACCTCTGTGATGTTGCTCCACTCCAGAGGTTATCATCCTAAAGCATTTTCAGCTATTCCTTCTGTAGTGAGCTTCAGGAACAGCAGTGTAGTCGGAGAGCTGGTTTGATTTATGCTCTGTGGGCAATGACTCTCTGAACTCCAGTGGGTCCCTGGGTTGTTTTCTTCCCCATCCACATCTGGAACTTGGGACTCTTTACTCCCTATGGCTATTCAGAGTTAGTTAGATAAGTGTAATATTTGCACAACGTAAGGTACTATATGAACACTAAGGATTATTTTCCTTGTGCTTAGCAGAGAAGCCTCTCTCTTAACCTGAGCTATTGCAAAACGGCCAAATACTTTTTTTTTTTCCCCCCTTATCTGTTCATTGTTTCCTAGATTATTTTGGTATTATCCTGAAGCAGGTTTGAAGCTGTTGAATACTGCATGGCGGTAGTCTCTCTCTTCTGCTCATGTCTTGGAAAAACATCATTTTTCTTGAAGACTGACTGTTCTCAGCAGGATGGACTTTACTGGAAGAATTGGATTCACCTTTGCCCAAACCTCTTCACAGTTGTATCTACTTAAATTAAGTCACTTTGTGGTCTGTTCTTCAAAGAGTACAAACGCTGCTTTTTTTTGCCAGCGCTCTTGGAAAATGTAGCTTTTAAACTCTGCAGGGAGATATGCTATTTCTTCTCTAAGGTCATTCATACTTGGTTACCTTGAAAAACTCAACGTTGTTTACTTTATGGCTTCAGCAAGAGACTGTTTTAGTCTAGTCCACAAAAAGCCCATTTCTGGTATGTGAATTACGTCAGATACAGAACATCTTCACTTCTGGAAATGTACAGCCTTCAGCGTGTAGTTCTGGAAACACAGTTTCTTTAAATGGTGTGCTTTCTGCCTCTCTTCATTTCCCCACAATTTCAGAGTGAGAAGAGCACTGCAAAAAGATCTTTTTTTAACTACTGTGAGCGTTTTATGATTTCATTTTTGCCTGGCATTTCTACACCACAGGAATAAAACACACACATTTTACTAAAAATAGCCTGTAACACTTGAGTCTCCTCCAGTGCTGTCTTCACCTGTAATGGAAAGTTCTAGCTGCAACGCAGAAGTCTTGCAGGTTTATGCCCTCCTCCCACCTTGCATTTCCCCCACAGAGAGGGTGGTGTGTCCTTAGAATATGGGTGAAGAGTTGATCCTTCTGGATTTAGCTGTGTGTTCTGCTGATGAGTGTCTTGCAGGTGCGAAGTGAACATCTATACTTGGAGGGCTACCATATGGTTAGAGTCGAGCAATTATAAATCCCTGTGCGTATGGATCAACTTTCTTTGCTATTAATCATTCATCTCCGGTTGCATTTTTTTTCTTCCTTCATTGTTGGTCACCTGATGAAGGGCTCTTAATAACTTCACTGGACTCCAAATCTACTTAGCAGCTGAGTTTCTGCGCTCTGAGGGTGGGAAGCTGAATTTCAGCTTTTCTAGAGTGTTGGGGTGATGAGTGCAGCGTGATTGCATTTTACAGTTTGTTACCTGATGGTAGATGCAAGGGCCTGGAACAGGGAGGCCATATGGAAGGTGCTGCTTTCAAAAAAAAAAACCTTTACATGCTAAAAATGGTGTAAAAAACCTGCAGGTCTCTCAATCAGTCTCTTTCAAGAGCTTGTTAGACTTAAACCTGACATTCAATCAGCTGTCTGATAGATCCTGTTAAAAGAAATTGTACTGGGTCTGGCTGGGATGGAGTTAACTTTCTCCATGGCAGCCCCTGGGGCCGTGTTTGGGATTTGTGGGTACGACAGTGCTGATAGGGCACCGATGTTTTGGCTGTTGCTGAACGCTTGTACGGTGTCAAGGCTTTATCTTCTTCCCACTCTGCTGCCTGCCTGGTGACTAGGCCAGGGGTTGGCAAGAGACTGGGAGGGGACACAGCTGGGACAGCTGACCCAAATTAGCCAAAGGGATATTCGACACCATAAAACCTAATGCTGAGCAGTAACAGCTAGGGTAGAGCAAGAGGAGAGGGCTGGCTTTCCAAGTGGCCATTGTTTGGAGACTGGCTGGGCATTGGTTTGCCTGTGGGAGGTGGTGAGTGGATTTCTTCTGCTTCCTTCTATTTTTATTCTTTCCTCTTTCTTTCACCTATTAAACTGTCTTTGTCTCAACCTACAGGTTTTCTGGCTCTTGTTCTTGTTTTCCCTCTCTGTCTTAAACGGCTATCTGGTTTATCGTCTTGCAGAGCAGCAATAGCTGCTCGGGGACTGCCTGGGCATTGGTCGGTGGGTGGTGA